GTATAAAGGCAGAATCTTCATGTACAGGAGGTAACTGAAGCAGATCTCCAAATAAAAGAATGTGCTTTTGACCGAACCAACCATCATCACAATCAGTAGTATCGTATATTTCAGATAGTCGTAAGTGTATATACAGGTAGTATATACCTGTGTATATACCCCAAGTGTATATACCTGTACGTAAGAATTAAATTAGATATCATTGACACTTCGTTAATTATAATAAGACTAACATCTTTAAGATTTGCTCGTAAAACTTTCAAAACGTGGTTAGCTAATTGCTTATACTTAGGAGTATGACCATGCTCAACGGGTAATTGCAATAATCTGTGAATTCTCTCTCTCTCTCTGTCAAACCGTCTATATTAAACGTTGCTTACCAGTAGGTGCTGCTACGGCAGTATCCTTCTTGAGATTTTGTTTTAACCAACATTTGACTATTTTAATTAAAAAACTTTTGCCAGTACCTCCTTCTCCACTAACATATAATCGTAATAGTGATTTACTTGACGTTATGATATTAGCGACTCTATCAAATACTCTTCTTTGATGCGCATTCAATTTTGAAATCATTTCGGATATATCGATTTCCTGTTTGTCACCAAGATCCTTAAAATCCTGCATCGCATCATCAGCATGAATAATATTTTGTACACCTACTGGATTATCAGGATCACCTTGAGACGTATTCTGTTTTTCTAAGTCATCGAGATGTTGTTGAAGTAATTGCTTCGCAGTTACAAGTGCATTTTTTAATTCCTCCGATTTTTCATGACACTCCAATGCTTTTTCAAGATATAATTCGTTATTGTGAAATGATTCTGCATAAGTATCATATTCATTTTTAAAATCTTGTATTTTCTGCCATGGTTTAAACATGAGAAGTAATGAAAAGAAATAATTTTCCGGTTGCGTATTGATCATAACTATAGTGATTGATAAGACACGTTGTCGCCGTTTCAAATAATAACCATTACTCATTTTATAGTATATAATTTTTTTACTTGTTGGTTTGATTTTCGTTACGTCATGCCACTGTACAAATTCATATAAAGACATCGTTTCAAGTTCTTCCGGTCTATTTGGATAATGTCTATCTATTACAGATGGACAAAATATGTCAGCAGAATCTCCATCAAGAACTTTAATTTTTTTTATAACTTTTGACTTTTCTATATCGTATCTAACATCTAATCACTTAATAGTTGTGTTTCTATCAGTTCCATGTAGAGAAATATCTAACAATGTATCAGCTGCTTCAAGAGCTCCATATTCTCTATTATTAGTGATATACTAACACACCAATTCCTCACACAACCCGTTCGGTTGAGAACAATAAAAGAGGATCGGGATGGTGGGGATGCTCTCTGAAGGAAATCACTTGTCGATAAAATCATAATTATATTTAAATCGTTACAGGATTTTAATCAGTGGTGATCTGCGAGTCACCGTAACACCTATTCTTTCTAGAGACGGACGGGCATCGCTTGAAACCTATCAAGCCCCGCTTGACTGAGACGAACGGGCATCGCTTGAAACCTATCAGGCCCCGTTTGACTAAGACGGACGGGCGAAAAACTAGAGGGGGACGTATAGCTGCGTGCCATTACGTATGACGAAACCCGCGCGTCGACTTGAGTCACGCTGCTCGCGGAAATATCCCGGCCCTCTCTCTTACCTGAGGCGCCCAGTTTCCTCTCGAGCTCTCCCAGTTATCGGAATGGACAAATGCCTTGAGACAAAGAAAAACCTCTGAAATCTCGCAAGTGCGTTCTATCGCCGTCCTCGAAGTTAACCACACAATGGCTGAAACGTTCTCTCTGAACATATGTAGTAGCATGCGCCGCCGCTATGCACAGCAGACGAGCGGCCGCTTGCACAGCGCGCTCTATTCCGTCTGCTCATTCTTGGCAGGTATCTAGTCGCGACGGAACATTCCGCCCGCCTTCGAGAAGTTGATTCTCGAATACCGTTGTCTCCTAGTTACAGGGTAGAATGCAGATCTTCGTGATCGATCGCTTGAAGGTTGTGGTGGCCGTTCGCATCGTAACGATTCTCGTCAGATCATCATCACCAGGATGCAATTTAGCAACCCGAGTCAGTGGCCATTTCGCTGGAGGGTATCGCTCATTGATTACCAATACTAAGGATCCTTCCTTAATTAGAGTCGATGGATGGTGCCACTTGGAGATGGATTGGTAACGTTGTAAACACTCAACGCTCCATCGCTTCCAGAAGTGTTCCACTTTCTGTCTGATGAGCTGCCATCTGTTTAGGCGGGAGCTTGGCTCTTCTATGAGGTTTGGTTCCGGTATCACGTTAGGAGCCTCACCCAGAAGGAAGTGACCGGGAGTGAGCGCTGTATAGTCGTCAGCGTGCTCTGACAAAGGACAAAGAGGCCTGGAGTTTAACACGGCTTCGATTTGAGTTACAAGGATTGTAAGCTCTTTGTATGTGAGCGTTGAGTCACCGATGACTCGTCGGAGATGATGCTTAGTCGATTTAACTGCGGCCTCCCATTTGCCTCCAAAGTGAGGCGCGACTGGTGGGATGAATCGCCACTCCGTATCTTGATTGGCAAGGATGGATGCCAGTTCCTTCAACTCTTGAGAAGCCGAGTCAAATCGTTGTCTTAATTCTCGATCAGCGCCGACAAAATTGGTATCACAGTCACTATTCAAAGTAGCACAAATTCCACGTCGGGCGGTAAATCGTTTGTACGCTGCGATGAACGCTTCAGTGGAGTAATCCGTAACCACTTCAATATGTAATAGCTTAAATAGCTAAGTAGCCTTTGTACATCTTGGCCGCCCTCCCTCGCCAAGTCTTTATCTTCATCGGACCCGCATAATCGATTCCCGTATGTAAAAACGGGCGAGAGGGTGTTATTCTCGTGACCGGCAGCTGTCCCATCAGCTGTTGAGCGCGATTTTGACTGTATCGGACGTCTGCCTAGCTGGCCCCCCCACCTAACCAAATCTTAATGAAAAAATTATGGAATAATGCGCTATTTATG